TTGGGATATAGCTCAGTGTTAGAGAATGTACTAAGTTAGTGAGTTCAAGGCTCTAGACTCAATCCCCAGCATTGGGAAAAAAAAATCAAAGCACATATCTTTTTTTTAATACCATGCACTACAATTGTTTAAAAATTTTAAATCGTCTGTGGTAAAGTTTACAAGTTAGCCTATTTTACTTTATACAAATCTAGGTGTCAGTTTTGAAGATGATATACAATAAATATTTAAAATCAAGCATTATATTAAAGTATCTTTCAGATCAAAAGAAAAAAATAGTATTTAAGAATTGTTAATGACTAGATCTGGTTCTACCTTCTAGCAATATTTCCCAATACTCTTAACATGTACTGCTGTCAAATCTTTTCTCAAATATGTCTCATGCTTTTTTTCTGCCTCTGCTCCTTTGTCTTGCTGGGATTCTAACCCTTTCCCCTTCCTCTCTATATTTACCCATTCTTCAATGACCTACTGCCCCACCAGGAAGCCTTAAGTGAACCTCTATTACCCATATGCCCCATGGCCAGAATTGTTCGTTCACTCCGCTGTACTTTCACAGAACTTTATTTATACTTACTTCCTTTAAAGTATTTAATATAGTTTCTCTTTTGGTATGGCTGTCTCTCAACTGTAAACTTCTTGAGGGCAGGAATAATGTCTTCTTGGGTTTTTATATTCTCCATAGCAACTAGCACAATGTCTTTAACGTTGTAACTGCTCAATAAATATATACTGATTAAAACGAATACTCAGAAATGCATGAGAACATTTAAAATAGAAATACAAATGAAGTGAGTTACAAAAGATCCTTTGTACAAAAGTATATTTCAAATATAATCTTGGGATGGGAGATGAGAAGAATAAAGGAGGAACAGAACCATAAAATAAGTGCTTTAGGGCACTAACTCTTTCTGGCACTGAATTGGGATTAGTTCCTAACCCAATCCAAGAAACTTTAAACCTTCAGGGATGAAAAATAAAGGGGAATTTTCTTTGAGGAATCAATTTCCCTTGAACATTTACTAGTTAAAAATCCTACATGAAAAAACAAATGGCCAAGAATAAATAAATGAATAAATATTTAAAACCACCCTGTCCCCATAAAATAAAAAAATTGACGTTAGGAAATTTAATTTTCCCGTTGCTTACCTGATGTTACCCCTGGGTTACAGTTGGACTCTGGCTGCAGCTTGTGCTCTATTTCAGGAGGACACCTGTTTTCCCCACCCCACCCCCGTCCTAGTAGGTGAAAAACTTCTCAGCCACGCAGAGAGCACAAACTTCCTGATCCTTCGATGCAGAAAGGGAATAACACATCAGCTTCCTCAGAATCACTAGGCAACCTACCTTGGTGTTTCTTCATTGACCAATCAGAAACCCCCAAGGTTGATTCCAGCCAATCGGAGCTTATGAGGGGAGGCTCTCCCCGGGCTATTGTTGCGATCCAGACAAACATCACCAAAAGGAGGCAGGTTTGGGTTCAACCTGACAGCTGGTCAATCCAATGAAGGAACCTTGGTAGAAGAGAGGAAAGAGAGCTGCGCTCCCCACACCCACTAAAGTGGCCAATCAAAGCGTCCAGTGAGCTAACAAGAGCTGCCAATCGTAAAAGATTTCTGTTGGGCATTTTCAATGTAGCAGGTGTGTTAAGAGTAGCAGCGTATACTGGGACAATTGGATGAAAAGCATTGGTATCCAAGCAATAAAGCTAAGACCGAGTAAAACATTTTAAAATTGGGTTGTTTTCTGATAGCTTAACCCTAACCTGATTGTTCTCAGAAAAAAACTAATCTGAATCGGTTTGTAGAGGTTTATTTGGTTTACATTTAA